GTTGTTAAGTGATACATGACTGTAGTATCTAGGGAACTATTTGTGGCTATTTTAAACATTACTTAGGAATTATTTACGATCTCTCATCTCAGCCTCTGAAATCAAATGTCAAGACAGAGCTCATGCAGTATTGGGAAGTCACCTTCCGTGAGCTGGTCCCAGGCCCAGGGTGTGAGTGCTTCTGGGAGGCTGTGGGTTAGGAGGAAGCCTGGGCATGGCTTTGTTTAACTCTACAATCTTAACTGACCCTTAGCTGTTACTGCTCAAAACTGGCTTCCTTCAATTGCATACTACCTTACTTTCCATCCCAACTGGGTCTGTAGCGCCTTGCACTCTCATTGTTTGAGGGTGGATTGTATAGTAACAGTAGCCATCTGTTTATGGGTGGCTTAATTGAAACTTTGCTTAATTGAATTTGATTAAAAACTGAACCTGGGGTTTTCAGTGAGATGCTATACTTAGAGAACATAGTGCCTCACACATTGTAAGCACTTGGTAAATTTTAGTTGTCACAGTTGTTAGAATTCCTTCAAGAAGTCACTTCTCACAAGTGAGGGGCATAGGAGAGCTCCCCAGGCAGAGGGAATCGGACATACTAAAGTCCTGATGGCCCAGAAAGCCTGTGGCCCTCCAGGGTCGCAGACAGGCTAGTAAGGAGCAGTGAAGCTGGGTGTGGGGTGCGGTGGTGGGCCAGGCTGCTTCACTCTGAGAAATGTGGGCTTCACAGTAAGAGTAACTGGAAGCCGAAAGGGTCTCAGACTGAGAGCATTCAGATTTGCATTGCTAAAAACTATCCCAACAGTCTCATGGACAGTGGATGTAGGGAGGTTCATTATAAGGTCTGGCCGTAGAGTAAATAACTAACCTTGGGCAGGCTGCTTCAACTGTCTTGATTTCCTCCTCTTTAACCCAGATTCAGTAACTACCTACCCATAGGCTGTGAAGATTCAATGAGTTGCTACTTGTAATCTGCTTAGAACAGCCCCTGGTGTGTAGGAAGTGCTTTAAATGTGTGTTAAATAGAATGCAGAAGTCTGGTTTCTGAGTAGAAGGTTGCATTCTTCGGACACTGCCCTCCCCTCACCTAGCATCAGACTGACCTGCTCCGTGAAAACCCAGACTGCTGCCGACTTGGAGACCGCCTGGTTTCCAATCCGAGTCCTCCTGCTCTGCCTGAGTCTGACTCTCTGCCTGGGTCTGATTCAGACACCTCCGTGTGGATTGGACATATGGCTGGCCAGGCCTGGCCGGGCTTTCCCTTTTCCCAGAACACCTGCCCTGCACCCCGCTGGGGGTTCAGGCCCCACACTGGCTTGCCAAGAGCACCAAGCGCTCTCCCTGCTGTGCAGGCCCCACCTTCTCCCTTCAGAAGTTCAGTGGAGCCCAGCAGTAAGCGCGGCTGGTGGTAAGTACCATCGCCCTCCACAGATGGCACGCTGGCTTGTACCCGAGCTCCCTGACTCTGCCTGCCCAGCCACAGCCGCTGCCTCCCTCTCTCTCCCAGGTTGCCCTTGGTGTTGAAAAAGACCACCACCACCAACATGGAGACGAACTCCCTTGGGGCTGTGGTCAGCTTCTGTTTGCTTTCTGTATTTGGGGCAGATTTGAACTGAAAGAGGGAAAAACAGTAACAAGCAAGTGGCTCCATCCTTCTCTCTACCTTAGAAAAGCTTCACTCTAGCCCTGTAAGGTTCCTGTTTTTCCCCCTTTCCAGTGGATTCATTGTTTTGTAAATCACGTAGTACACACTGCTGGGGGGTTTTGTTGTTGTTTTTATTAATCGTGAACGTCGTCTACTGAGAAGTAATGTTTTAAAGTTACTTTGTTAACTTGCAATTCTAATTTGAAAACTGTAGATAGGATATAATCTAGGAATGGCAGGTTTCCACTTAACATGACTTAGGAGTGTTGCCTGGATTCTCTTTTAAGGATACGGAGGCAGGTCTGAGCTCACAGGGAGAAAGTACATGATCCTCACAAAAGGCTGCATCCCAGATTGAGGGTAGAGTTTCCCCCAGGGGTAGAGACTGCTGTTGAATCATGGTGAGGAAGGGCAGAGGGCATAGAAGGCTTCTGTATTTCTAATGCTTTACTGATGAAGCTTGAAGGTTTGTGGAATTTGACATAATGTTTTGTGTCTTTTTGGATGTGTGAGATATTTTATGATGAAATTGAAATGACCACCATGATAGTGGAACCACCCAGAGTGTCACTGGTATGTGTGCCACGTGCTTGTCGTCCGGGTCCATGGAGCCTACCTGCCCATCACTGAGGCACCCTTAGCCTCCACCTCAGATTAGACTGTCATCTCCAAGTATTTGTGTATGAAGTTACATACATACATTTATATGCACAGATGCAAATTCATTTTATCTCGTAATGTGTTACCACAAAATGCAGTATAGGACTTTTTAAAAAAACCGAGTATTTCCAAATAAAACTTTTTCAAAAAATATTTTTTTCCTGGTATTAAAAGAGGCACATACATGTATGGGAGGCAAGGAAACATACTAAAGTAGAAAGAAGAAAAAATATATATATATATATACACACACACACACACACATATATATATATGAAATAATATAAATGTTTAACAGTATCTAGGGTGGCACTATTATGGGTCTCTAGCACCACCCTAGAAACTGCTAACATTTGGTGATAGCTGTGATCTAAATATATTCCCTAAAATCCATGTGTTGAAACGTAATCACCAATGTGATAATATTAAGAGGGGCTTTGGGGGGTGATTAAGTCATGAGGGCAAAGCTCTCATGAATGGGATTGGTGATTTTATAAGAGGTGGAGAGAGTGCCCTGGGCCCTTTTGCCCTTGTGTCCCTTTCACCATATGAAGACACAGCATTCATAGTGTCCGTCCCCTTTAGAGGGCACAGCAACAGGGCATCACCTTGGAAGCCTTCACAGACACTGAGCCTGCCAGCTCCTTGGTCCTGGACTTCCAGCCTCCAGAACTGAGACATGAAGTTCTGCTCTTGTCAGTGACCCCGTCCGAGGTATTTTGCTCTAGCAACACAGACGGACTCAGACAGTGATATTTTCTTCCATTGTTTTTCCATTCTTATGTATGGATTATTTTTATATTGATGAGATCATTTCTGAGTATAACATTTTACATCTTTCTTCATTTAATAGTATAACCATTTTAAATCCTATTAAAATTATTCATAAACTTCTTTTCGTTGGAGACAGGGTCTCACTCCAACTCCCAGCCTGTCGTGCAGAGCCTCAATTTCTGGGGCTCAGGCGATCCTCCTGCCTCAGGCGATCCTCCTGCCTCAGGCGATCCTCCTGCCTCAGCCTCCTGAGTAGCGGGGACCACAGGTGTGCACAACCATGCCCAGCTAATTTTTTGTATTTTTTTGTAGAGGTCAGGTTTCTCCGTATTGCCCAGTCTGGTCTCGAACTCCTGGGCTCGAGTGATCTGCCTGCCTCGACCTTCCAAAGTGCTGTGATTACAGGTGTGAGCCACCATGCCTGGCCCCTTTATAAACATGTTAGTGGCTTACAGTGAGCCACTGCATAAGGATATTAATCATTCCCTGCTGTTAGATAATTTTTACTATATGAGAAATAACCACTACAGTAAACATCTTTGAGTATAGTTCCTGTCATCATACTTGCATTTATTTCCTTAAATGTATGCCACATATATCAAAGGTTCTGAATATTTTGAAGACATTTAATATGTTTTTTTCAAGTTGCTTTCTATAAGGCAGGGCCTCTATTAACCCGTAATCTGTCTTTGTTCCGGCGACAAACCTCTAGCCTGACACACCCCTGGAAGTCCAGGCCTCGTGATGGGTTCTGGGCTGCGCTGCATCTGCTGACACTTCATGGGCCCCTCGGTGCCATTCACAACTGCACTCTGTGTGGGAGACCCTATTTCCATCCCTCCAGGAGCTCACACAGAAAACCTGTTTCGTAGAACCCCGTACAGCATTAGCTATTCACGTCTGTAAAAACTTGAACTCCTTAAGTGAAAGTGCCATACGAGTGTCTTACTCTTGTTGATTACGGAGGACGAACATTCGTTTATGTGTTTCTTAGCCATTTGTGTTTTCTCTTGTGAACTATCTATTCATATGCATTGTTATGCTCTTAGTGTTTGTCATTTATTTTGTACATTAATTTGATAACATACATAGAATCTGTGCTGTTTGTTGTTAACATTCTTCTTAGTTTGTGCTCATACTATTTTTCTGGTAAACACAAGGTTTTATTTTTGTTGAGCACAGCCAAACCTCTTCCCTGATGATTTTCTCCCAGGATTTTCATTTCTCAGAGTTCTTTCTCATTCAGACACCTGAAAAATGTTCTTATTTTCTTCTTGTGTATTATTTCATTTTTACATTTATCTCTTTACTTTACATTAAACTGGAGTGTATTTTGATGAATAATACCCGGTGAGAATCTTTTTTTCTTTTTACAAATAGTTTTTGAGGCACCGTTTATTACATAATCTGCCCTTTCCCTACTGATTTGTGATATGTTCTCTGTCTTATGTTAAATTCTATTATCTGGATCCTTTTGTAGTTTGTGAGCATGATCACGATTGGGTGTTTCACGTGCGTGTGTGAGATGTGCCACCCTCGAACCTTGTGTGACATCGGCACATTGCCCAGCTGACCTCAAAAAACAAAAAAAAAGAAATGATCTTATCATCGCTGCTAAACATATTTTACTGAGTTTAAAAGCAATAAAAGTTCCTTTCTTAATATAAGTAAAGCACTGCTCATTCATTATATATGTTTTCGTTTTCACTGTCAATGTTTGTTTAACTTGACTTCTTTTTAATGTATTAACTTTAATGCTAACATTTCTCTTTTACGCTTTGAATGAAAGTAAATTGGGTACTTTGACAGATTTTTTTGTTTCATAGAGACCACTCCCATTTGCAAATAAATTGTAGGTATTGTACCTAAAAGGCACTTGTATTCACTTTTAAAGAAGTTGACTTTTTCTGTTTATGTTTTTTAGGGTGTATTATCTCATATACTTTCAGCACTCAGATTTGATAAAGAAGTTGCTCTTTTCACTCAGGGTCTTGGATATGCCCCTATAGATTACTATCCCGGTCTGCTTAAAAATGTGAGTATTTAAAATTTATCACTTCTGGAATGTTTAATGCTGAATGTGCCATCAGCGAAAAGAGTAAATGGAAATATTTCAGTCTTCCAGAAGAGACATTTAACTTTTCTTTGTTTATCTCTTCTTACCTTGGGCAGTCGTATGGCCACGTAAGGGAGAAACGTGCGATGGGAAGTTATGAGAAAGAAGGAAATCAGGAAGGGTTTTACCCAACCAACCAATCAGCCTCTCTTTCTAGGAACACATCTCGCGTATTCACTCAGATGTTTGGGAGAGGAGCTTTTCTTAGCTATTATAAACACAGTCTTGTGCTGTTGGACGAATCTTGTATTTCAAATAACCTGATTGGACTTTTTTGTTAAAGCAAAACAGAAAATTCAATACATAGTTTTACATATTTACCTCTTAATATTAAAGCTTTGTTTTCTTCTGGCTTACATTGTAGCCAAATGTAAGAAATTTTAACTTACAATCTTGATGTAACTCTTTTAAAAAATGTTATGAGATTTTTAATGTTTGCAAACCATTCTGGTGTTTTGGAAGCTTTATACAAGAAAAAGCTTTTTTTTTTAAAATGAAAATTTTAAATGAAGAAACAAACTAGTTTTTCTTTAAATGGATTTTGTTTTAATTCTTAGGAAATTAGTGACCTGTCTGTTGTTCATTACTTACATAGAAACGCAGAATTACAGACATCAAACATAAAATCCCAGTTATTAGTAAATGTGACATGGCACTGCTTCCTTTTCACTCTGACAGAGTAAAACATGAGAAGATGGGGGTTGGGGGAATCTCAACGGAAATATCACTCACACCAAGAAGAATAGAACTGATGTAATCCTGTTTGCAGCGTGAGTTAACCTGCAACTGATTTTGTTTTACAGATGGTTTTATCATTAGCGTCTGAACTCAGAGAGAATCATCTTAATGGATTTAACACTCAAAGGCGGTAGGTGTTAAACTAAACATCCTTCTTCTCAGGTTTCAAAATGTATCAGTTTGGTTATGAGAGGAAAATTTTATAATTCATAGGAAATGGATGTTCAGTTGTGGTTGTATGTTATATAGAAAGATTATTTTAGTGGAATACATAGCAAATTGGTGAGTTTTTTCAAACTCTTTTAAAAATCACAATTTTCTCAACTCTCACAGAGCAGTGAGTAAATCCTACAATGTCTTTTGTGGGCCCATTAGGTAAAAAGCCCTACATTTACAGTAGGGAGCACAAAAGAAAGAGCAGTTCTTAATTTTACCCTGGGATTGCTCACTCTGCAAGAGGAGAATGTGCACAGATGCAAGTGTGTGCTGTCACACTAGCCTGCCCTGGCTCTGCCTTCTCCCAGCACACGCGCACGTGCGCGCGCACACACACACTCTCTCACAAAGTCAGGATATTTACAAGGCAACATTTGATGTGAACATATGCCCTATTTTAAGAAACATGATATTCCAAAATCTAGACTAAACAAATCAAAGAGATTCAGACAAATTAAAAGGCAATTAATCACATTACAAATGTTTGTTCAGTCTGTGAAAGAATTTCAGTTTTCATTAGTGGGCATTTCATTTTTGACGTATCATTAACCGAGAGAATCTGGGACTGAGGGACTTGTTTTTTTTGTTTGTTTGTTTTTTTTTTTTCCCGTAAAGCTATTGCTAATTCAAGTGCTCTCAGAAATTGTCTTTGTCCTCAACCTTTAGGAATCTTTTGCACCTAACCCTTAAATATATAATTATTATAGGAAAACATTGGAGAAAATCTTCATTATGTTGGATTTGGCAATGTAAAAAGAACTATAGGAGATATGGAGAGTGTTTAGATTTATTTATTTACATGTCAGGTAGACTTGGATTTAGTTGTGAGGTGAATGTTGACTGATGGATCTTTTGAATTATGTAATTATAAATTTATTTAAAAGGACTTTAAAAATCAGTCAGTGCAATGTGTATGTACTCCCTACACCAAACTCCCAAAATATGCATCACAGTTGATTTTTTAAAAAGCAGCTCACAATAAAAATAATTTTTAAAATCTGTTAACAAATAGAAGCAAAGGATCAGAATGCAAAATATAGAAATGACTTGGAAAAATCAACCATAAAGAGGCAGACACTCCAGCATAGAAATGAGCAAGGAATCTAAGCAGGTCATTACCAAAAGTGAAAACTGAATTCCTAATGTTAAAGGAGTTCTTCAGGAATGACGACAGCAAGATGGTAGAGTAGGAAGTCCTAGACCTTATTTCCCAGTAGAGACACTGACTTCACTACAACATACATCCCAAAACATTTCAGTGAGAACTACAGAACCAATTAAGAAGTCACAGTGCTGCAGGCAAGCTCAAAGTGTAGAATAGCCACATTGAAATTGATTTAAAAATCTGTTTCGTTTCAACTGTGATAGCCCTTTTCCAAGTCTGGCACAGCTTGGTGAGATTGGTAGGAAAAACCCAGCTTGTGGCTTCTCTCCCTTGGGCGGGAAAAAGAAGAGTGGAATGTGCATCCAACATTCTCACTTTTTAGGGAGCAGACTGAGGAACAGATTTCTGTCTCTACTGACTGGGAGCACTGACGAGGAAATTGCATACAGTAATCCCTCTTTATCTATAGGGGATATGTTTCAAGACACCCAGTGGATGTCTGAAACCGTGGATAGTACCAAACCTGATTGCCATCAATCATAACACATTTCTGTATTCCACTCACAACTTTAATGTCTTTTCCGTCTTAACTAAACACTCACCATATATGATGGCTGTAATTTTTGCCATGTGAGATGCAATGACAAAACTAACACAAATTTTTTTCCTTCTTTACTATTTCACAGATAGATGATGTGTTTTTACTATAGAGCTCAGCAACCTCAGCATATGTCTTTCCTTATTAAGTTGAAAACTTTCACCTTTTCACTTAAAAAAAGCACTTTACAACTTCTCTGTGGCATATGCAAATTGCCAGCCCCAGTGCTCTTGGACTTTGAGGTCATTATTAAGTAGTAATAAAATAAAGGTTACTTGAAGACAAGCACAGTGATGCTGTGACAGTTGATCTGACCACCAGTAAGGCTACTAAGTGACTAATGAGCAGGTAGTGTATATATCATGGATACCCTGGGTAAAGGGATGATTCATGTTCCAGGTGGGACAGAGTGGGACACCATGAGATTTCATCATGCTACTCAGAACAGTACACAATTTAGGCCGGGTGCCGTGGCACATGCCTTTAATCCCAGCACTTTGGGCAGCCGAAGCAGGTGGATTACCTGATTTCAGGAGTTCAAGACCAGCCTGGCCAACATGACAAAACCCCGTCTCTACTAAAAATACAAATTAGCCGGGCGTGGTGGCTTATGCTTGTAGTCCGAGCTACTCGGGAGGCTGAGGCAGGAGAATCACATGAACCTGGGAGGTGGAGGTTGCAGTGAGCTGAGATTGCATCACTGCACTCCAGCCTGGGCAACAGAATGAGGTGCCATCTCAAAACAAAACGGTGCACAATTTAAAACCTTTGAATTATTTCTGGAATTTTTTCATTTAATATTTTTGGACCACGGGTGACCATGGCTAGCTCAAACTACACAAAGTAAAACTGCGGATAAAGGAAGAATACTTTTGATGTCTTGGGGCCGTGGAGAACAAAAGCAAGCTTGGTGGTTTGTGGTAGCACCAGAGAGCTGGCAGCGCTGTGGATGGAGGCTGGCACAGCTCAACAGAATTGGGAGAAAATGCCTAGCTCGCGACTTGTTCTTTGGGAGGGGAGGAGAAGAATGGAATATATACATCCAGTGTTCTGGCTTTTCAGGGGCCTACTGGAGGGACTGGCGTCTGTCTGTCCTGACTCCCAGCACTGACAGAGAAATGGCGTCCTTTGGAACCAGAGCGCCGCAGCTTGTTGCAGCGCCGGAGAATCTGCAGTACCACAGACGGACACTAGGGGGAGGGAGAGATGAGGAGCTCTCGAAAATCCGGTAAAGCCCTCTAATTTGGGAATCACATGCGTGAGCCCAGAGAAGGTACATCCCTGGAAAAGGTTTGACGGACCTCCAGAATCTCCAGCCGGGTCCATTGGTGAAAGTCTTCCCTTGTACCATGTCAGTCGATAAAGACTGAGAGAAGTGGATGTTTCTTTAAATGTACAAAATACAACAAAAATAACAAGACACAAAGTAAACCAGGGAAATGTGGCATAATCAAAGGATCAAAATAAACCTACAGAAACAGACCCTAAAGAAACAGAGATCTATACATTACCTGACAAAGAATTTGAAATAATTGTCTTAAGGGATCTCAAGGCACTACAAGAGAACACAGATGAACAACTAAATTAAATCAGGAAAACAATACATGAACAAAAGGAGACTATCAACAAAGAGATAGAAACTAAAAAAGAACCGAACAGATATTCTGGAGCTAAAGATACTCAATAAGTGAATTGAAAAACTTACTAGAAAGGTTCAGCAGTAGACTTGATCAAACAGAAGAAAGAGAAAACTTAAACACAAATCATGTGAAATTATTAAGTCAGAGAAACAGAAAAAAGAATGAAGAAAAGTCAAGAAAGCCTAAGACACTTGTGGAATAACATCAAATGGAACAATATACACATTATGGGAGTCCTAGAATAAGAGAGAAAGGGGCAGAGAACTTGAAGAAATAATGGTGAAAACTTCCCAAATATTAGGAAGGAATTGGATATCGTAATTTAAGAAGCTCAAAGGACTCCAAAGAATGAACCCAAAGAGGCCCACACCAACATACACAAAAATCGAAATGTCGGAAGTTAAAGACATAATCTTGAAAGCAGCAAGAAAAAAGTGACGTATCATGTATAAGGAAGGTTCCATAATATTGTCGGTGCATTTCTCAGAAGAAATATTACAGGCGAGAAGGGAGTGGGATGATACATTCAAAGAGCCAAGGAGGAAACAAAACAAAACAAAAAACCCTTCCAACCAAGAATACTGCATCTGGGCTACATCATCCTTCAAAAATGAAGAAGTAAAGACATTCCCAGATAAACAAAAGCTGAAGGAGTTCATCACTAGACCTGCCTTACAAGAATTGCTAAAGGGAGTTCTTCAAGTTGAAATGAAAGAATATTAGCAATGTGGAAGCATACAAAAATATAAAGGCTTCTGATAAATGTACACATACAGACAAACACAAAATCTTATAATACTGTGTTGTATAGTACAGTTGTCCCTTGGTATCCACAGAGGTTTGGTTCCAGGACTTCCCACACATCAAAATCTATAGATGCTCCAGTCCCACAGTAAACTGTGTGGAACTTACAGATATAAACAGTCAATCTTTAGGTTCTACATCCTGCAAATACTATATTTTTGATCTATGATTTAGTTGAATCCATGGATACAGAACCCATAGATATAGAGGGCTGAGTGTACATAACTCACTTTTAAATTCTGGTATAGAACTTAAAAGCATAAAAAATGTTAAACAGTGTTGATAAATACAAAATAGAAAAGGATGTAATTTGTGATATTGATAACATAAACTGGGGAGGGAAATGTAAATGAGTAGTGTTTTAGTATGTGATTGAAGTTGTCTTATTAGGTTGTTATAACTCTAAGATGTTTAATGTAATGCCCATGGTAACAACAAGAAAATACCTGTAGGAGATGCACAATGGAAGATGAGAAGGAAATCAAAGCATGTCACTATGAAAAAATCAATGAAACCCAAAGGAAGGGAATAAGAGAAAATCGTGAACAGAATAACTACAAGGTATATGGAAAGCGGCAAAATGGCAATAGTAAGTCCTTCTCTATCAGTAATTACTTTAGGTGAACATGAATTAAACACCCCATTCAAAAGATGTAGAGTAGCAAAATAGATCAGAAAACAAGATCCAACTATATTCTAGCTGCAAGAGACTCACTTGATACATTGGCTGAAAATGAAAAGATGGAAAAATAGATAATCATGCAAAT